CCCACCTGGTGGCTCAAAGCTCACGCCTTCAGAGAAACGGGAGGAACATCCTGTCCTCCACCAAAGAGCGGGAGAAGTTCCTGAGTTCTCTGGAGTGGAACACGGTCCTGTAGCCCAGCAGCTGCAGGAGAGGTTGACAGGCGTTCTGGGTGTAGGTCACCATGTCCAACGACAGCTTCACCCTCCAGTTCTCTGCGTTGGCGGCGGAGTCGCGGACCGTGGTGAACTTATGTCGGGACGACTGGTCACTGCTGCCCCGCGTGTTGTTGATGATCCAGTCCTTCACGCTCTGGTCTAAGTCCAGACCCAGGAAGTTGTAGAGCTCTCTGGTTTTCTGCAGAGGGAACCTGGCCACGTCTTCATACCTGACGAAACACAAACCTTATAAAAGAGGACTGTCTCTACATCGTAGGCCTCGAAGTCGAACCGGCTGAGGACCACGGCTGCAGCCTTTACCGTTCAGTACAACAGAAACACACACAGATGAGCAGCTACAGAACTTTAATCTTTCAGAAGTTTAAATGACGTCGTCATCCACTCAAACCTCAGCCTGTTTAGTTGAAGACCACGCTGATAAACTGGCAGGAATTAAAGAAAGACACAAAGATCTTCTTCAACGGCTCTGATTATGTTTTTTTAGTTTGCATAGTCATCTGCTGCCACCTAGAGGAAGAGGATTTAATTGCTCTGCCTGTCTGGCGATGACGAACAAAGAAAAATAATTTGCAATAGATATAAACAAAATAGTTTTAGGACCAATTAATTGAAATTAGATGACCTTCCACTGCACACCCTATGATCTCTCACGGCACACTAGTGGGCCACGACCCAGTGGTTGGGTTTTCACACACGTCTCACCTGAGCAGCATGTAGCGTCCTCTGAGCCACGCAGGTTTGGACAGACCGGTGGAGACCGATTTGAGAAAGTCGTCACACACGGTGTTGATCTGACCCAGGTCTAGGTTATGGGGTCTACGCCCGGTCGCTCTCCATAGACGCCACAGACGGTAGGTGTCTCGAAACGTCTCGATCCGGGACGCCAGGATGCCGCGAGGATCTCGAACGAGCTGCACCACCTGGAAACGAGGACGATGACGGTCAGTGATCGAACACACTATGATCTCTCACGGCACAACGTTGAAATGTTATGAAGAATCTGTTGATCGTACGAACACCTGCGTCCTCCGACACCGTCTCCGTACTGTCGCTGTTTTCATTCTTCATTAATATTCCCTCCTCATCTTTAAATAAATCAAACCTCATCTCATCCCCTTCACCCCCCCCCACCCCTTCCCATTCTCCCAGGAGGCTGTTTTTAACACAACAGTCACACTGGTTACATAACACCATCAATCAGAGTGCATTAACCACCACTGGCACAGCACCACCTCTCTGCTGTGAGCGGCGCTGCAGACATTTCTCTGGTCTGTGCATTGATTAGTCCAACATCATCCAGTCGACCGTTCAGTTCCATCTGCACTGGCTGCAAACTCACTGTTTACCTCTGGTCTCCACAGAGCACCTAGCCTAGCCTAGCCTAGCCTAGCCTAGCCTAGCCTAGCCTGGGTTTACCCATTGTGTTTTTGATTATTTTGAGTTGCCGTGTTAAATATACAACAGTAGACAACAATGCTAACACGTGGTGTAAATGTGAATCGTCAAACACAGTTTTCAACTGCACCCCCTGCAGGCCAAGAGGTGGAATTGCATGCTCAATACTGACATATACAGAATACTACAACACTTCAGTTCTTCTTCTCCTACCTTCAGATTGAGTTTTGGATCCTCGATCAGGGCCTTGAGGTCACTGACTTGGGGGATTCGAACAGTCTTGATGGCAGTGTGTCGCATCGTTCTGCAGGCGTCGGCAGCCAGCGTCACGTTAAGAGGCCCACATTTCTTCACACACTCTCCCTCATCAGTCAGCACTAGGCCTTGGTCCTCGGGACCAAGAGGAACCTCACACACAGGAGGGGAACACAGAGAGCGGCCTGCAGGTACAGGACACAGAAACAGCTCAGACGGCACCACGGCTTTAACCACAGCATCGTTAGAACGTCTCTTACTGGCTCCTCTCCTGAACAGCTTGTCGGTGGAGTGGTTGGCAGGGTGGGGTCTGATGTAACTCTCCAGGCTGCCGAGGTGACAGTGATACAGGGACCTCAGCAGGTCTCTGGCCGCTCCCATCATCAACCTCCTCTCAGCCAGGTTACGGCTCTGCGCCAGGCGAGGAAGCAGCACCGACTGGACGTGGTACAGAGGCTCAAACAGGTAAAAGACCTGCAGCCAATCAACAACAAATGATGTGAGAGTCAAGATGTCCAGGGTTTAACCAATACAAAACTAAAATGTTAGGGATATCCGATAACATCGACCGACCAATAACATCGACCGACCAATAACATCGACCGACCGACATAATCAGCCGATATTAGTAATATCTGTAAGAATTATTATCCGTTTTTTCTCCAATAATAAAAACCTGATTTTTGCCAAATGATGTGTGTCTAGAAATAGTTGGGGATAAACGGCTGTATATTAAAGTGAAAGTCACTAGATGGCAGCATTGCAGCTCATTTTTATCAATCTATTTTAATATGCAGATTGCTGGTGTCAGAATTTTGTTGGGTCGGTTGATATCGGAATCCCATATTACGTGTTTGGACAATACCGGTATATCAGGTATTGGCAAAAAGTTCTATAATATCGGACAACCCTATAAAATATCCTTCTCTCTTTTTCTTAGTGAACTGCTACATAACACAACAGTGGAAAACCTGCGTCAGTCTGACACCTGCTGGGCGGGCTGGGACATGCTGCCTGTTTGTCCAGCACCAATTAAAAACCAGTCCAGTCTTGTGCATGTTTAGACACACTGGCCGCGGCCCAGGGGGCGCTGGAGATCAGGATGGTCTGTCAGCAGAAACAACAACCACTCATCACAACGTCCATAAGAGCTAATAGCTAATATAAAAGCTAAGTTCGCCCTGACAGTGTTGTCCACGCTGACTGTACTGTACTGTAATACAACCACACCCAGAGTGGGCTACAGCCGGGGTGGAGCCCCAGGCCACATCATGGGTTTTACAGCATCGTCCATCCAGCAGATGTCGCCACAGGAGACCGACGCTAACGTGGGTTTTTACACATCAGTACAGATGCTACCCACTCTTTTTTCCCTGGACCTCAATATTTTTCTGTGGAAAGTTGGATCCACTAGATGGCAGTTAGTCCAAATCAGTGATTCTCAACCCCTGGGCCGTGGCCCACTGGCGTGCCGTGAGACGTCATTAGGTTGGAGAACACTGGTCTAAATGTTAGTGATTCTTTGTACAGTTCACTTCTTCCAAACCTCTGGATGTTGGTTGAAGAGCTGACCCACAAACGAGGATCCGCTCCGTGTCGTGGCCAGAATGAGGATGTGTGTTCTCTCATGGGCATCACCCTTGGAAGGTAACGATAAGTTGGGAGAAGGTCTGGTGTTAGCGAGGGTCTCATTACTGCCTCGCTCTGCCTGGTCCGGTGTCAGCTCCTTGAGGCTGCAGTTCACAGTTTGGCCTGTAGGTATCAGGCCCACAGAGCAGAGTATGTTCAGCGGTTTGGAGGAGAAGGTGCGGATGGCGGTGTACTGGATGGCTATGGAGGCTAATGCTAGGAGCACCATGGATTTCCAGGAGCACAGCATGGTGGCTACACCGATGTGTCAGGACGCCACAGCACAGCCTGCAGGACAGGGGGACAAAAGACATCTGGGATCAAGGGTCTCTCCTGACATTTGAATCTAAGAGGTCAAATCTACAGACAGAATAAATCTGGATGAAGACGAAGAGTGTTCCAGAATCATCTAAACCAAAGAAATCCTCTCGACCTCTGGAATCATTAGCTGAGTGAAGCTCATGTGGTTCAACATGTGGGTTTAGGTCCACATATGAGAGGTACAGCTGTAACGTCAAGGTCTGATTGAAGTAGATTCTCTCAGCAGCTACAGCTGATCCCAGGTCAGGGTCATGTCATATCAGCCCATCATCCAGGGTCGTGACCCCGTGACAAGTACGTCTGCTGATAGGCTTCGTCTTGATCACAGTCGGAGACATTTGTTTCAACCTGTTCCCGTTTCTTCACATTAACGTGTGTGACGTGAGTCAATGATTGTTGAAACAAACGACTGAGTTTGGCTTCGTACCAGTTTGTCTTTGGAGGAAGTGGTAAATGTTTCATTGCTCTGTTAATTATATGTTGAGGGTTTTCTTTATAACTGCAGGACACTGTTAGATCATCATCATCATCATCATCATCATCATCATCATCACCATCACTACACCCACTGATAACGATGCTGTCTCCATACCTCTGAATGAACAGTGGATTTATACATTTGACATGTCTCTCTCTCTGTCTGTCTCTCTGTCTGTCTCTCTGTCTGTCTATTGTCTAGCATCATATTCCATTCACTGCTCTTCATCACGCTGCAGCTGTTACTCTCACTCTCCTCATCCTCACATTCCTCACGTATCCATCACATGAAGCCCGTCCTGTGTCTGTGTCTGTGTCTGTTGTTGTGTTTTTTACCTCTCTCCTCCGTGTCTTGGCCCGTCTGGTCAGCGGGAGGCGGTGGTTTGATGCAGGTGGAGACATGACGATGCTGCTGATGCTGATGCTGCTGCTGCTGCTGTAGTCGTGCTGCTCCTCATCCTCCTCGTCTGGTGCAAACAGCAGCCTGTGTGATGTTTGGGTGATGAGGACGGAGGACAACCCTGGTCCAGATCAACACTCACGTCGACGACAGGCAGCGGCCGCTGGTCGGAGCTCCGTGATGCTGCAGGAGAGTGTGTGGAGAGTGTGTGGAGAGTGTGTGGAGAGTGTGTGTCTGCGCTCCCTCTCTTTGTCTCCAGCACCTTTTACCAACACACACAAACACGTTCACGCACATGTGGCTACAATCGCGATATTTGTCCTTGAATTTCCAATAACAGTCGCTGCGAGTGCTAGCGTGATTTTTTCTAATTGAGACAAATCAAATTTTGAGTGGGATTTGACCAGCGTCGGCTTCCGTAGCACATGAAATGATCACGGAGTGAATTTTCCAGGAGCGCAATTTTAGGTCCTGTATTTTTTAATTTTTATTATAAAGTATTAGAGTTCAGATTTATTTAGGCTCAAAGACAACAACAACAGTAATAATAAAAAAATAACAATATGACTCAACTCAACTTAGATCATAATAATGCTCAGAAATTTTGAAAAAACTAAACCCAAGAGAAAAAAAATAGAATAATTTTAAAATAATAATACGGTAATATTTTCTAAAACTACATTAAAAAATAAAATATTTCTGTAAAAGTTGGGACCGAGACAAGTTAACCTCAAAAGGATGAACGTCTCTACATATATTGGGACCGAGACAAGTTAACCTCAAAAAGATATCTCTACATGTACGTATGCATTACACGTGTCCACAAGATGGCGCCATTGTACCAGTAAATATTCATTTACCCGATGAGCTGAACAAACAGGACCAAACCATAAAGTATAAAACTATGATTAATGAACGTCAGGTCTCGACACCAGGTGTCGCTGTTCTCAGGCTGCTGTGTTTATTATTACTACATGACAGTCCACTGATTATTATAGGACACTCAGAGTCAGCTGATCTCTGGAGCTGTACACTTCCAAAACTGTTATGACAAACGGCGGCTTTTCGTTCTTTCTGTTGCAATACTGACATCTACTGTTGTAGGTGGCTCACCACTGCCACCTGCAGGTGGCTGCATCCTCTTTCTGTGTACGGTCTACATTCACTCTTCTCTTTGGTCTCTCCTCTGACACGGACACTTTTTCCTGAATGACTGCTCGGCCAAACTGCGTCCTCTGATGACATCATGACATCATGACATCATGACATCATGACATCATGACATCAGCCGTCGCCTCCCAGCTCAGCTCTCTGTGACTCCTCCCACCTGCCGCCATTCAGCTGCTGTTTTCCTGAATGAGCTCTGAAACCATACCATGACCTCATCGTTGGCTCTGTGGTGCCCCACCCCCACCCCACCCCCACCCCACCCCCACCCCACCCCCACCCCAAAAACACATCAATAGATGGATGAGGAGGAAAGATGGGGATGCTGTTACTGCTGCTTGGGCTGCTGCTGTTGATGCAGCTGCTGCTGCTGCTGTTACTGTTGCTGCTGTTACTGCTGTTACTGTGTTATGGGATAGAGCTGTGGTCCAAACCACGGCTGTTGCTAATCTGAACCAACCACAGACGTTCTTTCCTCGCGGGTCAGTTGTTCACGCTCACGTATGTGTTTGACGCCGGTCCCTGTGTTCCAGGATTACGACCCCTAATCCTCGCAGCACAGCCGTCATTCCGCTGCAGCACCGAGCTGGTGACGAGAGAACACGGATGGAAAGACGATAAGAAATAACGTATGTAGAGGACGGGGGGGAGACACAGAGATTAACACCCCCCCCAAAAAAACCCAAAGACATATCATCATAGAGATTTGGACAATGTCCTGGACTTTCATTCAGACGTCCTCCTCGTTCACACTCCAGTTAACTGGGAACACACTCTTACGTAAGAAAGCGAAGGGGGAGGGGCACAGAAGCAGGGGGAGAGCAGGGGGAGGGGGTGAGGTCAGGTGAAGGAGGCTGAGGACCACAGCCAGCTGCAGTCATCCAGGGTCCAATTCCATTCCTTATTTTTGCTCCGACCGCTGAGATTCAAGTGTGAGGTTCAGAAATCTCCCCCGATAAATTAGAATCAGGCAGAGCTGATGATGTCATCACGTGGCCTGCAGTGGATTGGTACTTCAAGACGTAGTTTTACTGCATACTGCATACATGTTGTGCAGTATCTCAGGCTTATTGTCCAAGAACGTCCAAGGTGGAGACATGTCGTCAGGAGAACAGATGTCGTGGTTCAGGTGTCAGTGGCCAAACTGGCCAATCAGGAAGGTCGATTTCATGAACAGGCACAAACATGCAGTGCCACACCTACACACAGTCATGGTCTCTCTCTCTCTCTCTCTCTCTCTCTCTCTCTCCACATATTTCTCTACGCTCTTGTTGCGCTCTCTACATTTCAAAATCTTTCGCCGTAACTCCTCGAACTTTCGTGACGACTGTTCTCAACCCAAACTAGCTGTTGGAAAAATGTATTTATTTTCCTGCAATGGACTAAATAAAGTAGAAGCATCAACATCAGCCCTGTGGTCTTTCCTGATTGGCTGACGGTGTGATGACCTGATTGGTCAGACGACCTCAAGGTCAGGTCTTCACGTCTGTCTTTGGAGAAAACGCTGCGCTCTTCCACTGCAGCGCGGTGTTTCCTCTGCAACCAGAAAATCTGAGGTTATTTCAGGTCGAACGTTCTCCGGGAATGTCCTGGAAATTTTCTCTGCAGTGGGTTTTTTTCTTTGGTGTTATATCTGGAGTGAACGCCCCCCCCCCCACAGTTTCCCTCTGGAGCAGCTCTGCCTGCGTCACCGTGCAGAAACGTCCCAACTTCCCACGTGGACTTTGTTGTTTTATCCAACCAAAATAGCTTTAAAGAGAAAACGATGATTCAGACCGAGCCAACCCCCAAACCCTGTGTCAGTGCTGCAGTCTGATGCTGTCCCTCCCCTTCCTCCCCTCTTCCTCCCCTCCTCCTCTCCTCTTCCTCCCCCCTTCCTCCCCTCTTCTTCTCCTCTTCCTCCCCTCCTCCTCCCCTCCTCCTCCCCTCCTCCTCTCCTCTTCCTCCCCCCTTCCTCCCCTCTTCCTCCCCCCTTCCTCCCCTCTTCCTCTCCTCTTCCTCCCCCCTTCCTCCCCTCTTCCTCCCCTCTTCCTCCCCTCTTCCTCTTCTCCTTACCCATCACTTCTCTTCGTCCTCCCTCATGCGCTCTACTATTGTCCTATTTTCATTTCCACAGTCAAACATGTGCAGCTTCCATGTCTTTACAATGAGACGTTATAAAAGAATCCCTGTTACGACCTTATTAAACATGTAATAACATAACAGCTCTGTTTGTAATAACTATGTAACTCCTTTATTAATGAGGCCAGAAAACTGGGAAATATAAATGAGTAGAGAAACAACATCAAAGGCTTCATCAGGTTTAAAAAGGCATTCTGTGAACACACGTTTAAAAACATCGAGAACGTAGTTTAACGAGATCCAGAAAAAACTTCCTTTTAGCCAAACGAGGTCAATGTTAGCAGTGAAACAGAGAAGCTTTGCTAAAAAGACGACAAACACACTAACAGCAGTAAAGTCTGTCAGTTTCTCACAGACTG